GCCGCAGGGACCCACGCTCTGCGGCTTCGGCGGCTAAACGCGAATCACAAACCTCGCACTGTTAAAAACACAAAGGCTCTTTTCAGAGCCACCCACCAGTTTCACAACGGGAGCTGTTTATTACTATAAAAACAGTAATTGTAGAAAAGGAGTCTATGGTTCCAAATCATGCAATGTTTTGTATTTTTGCAACGATTTAAGTCATAAATCTGGTAAAGAACTATTTGCAATTACAGCTCTTTTTAGGAATGCGTGGGGGCTCTTAAAAGAGCCATTTGGGTTATAGTTTAGAACCGTTTCACTTGGAGCTGGTGTACTTGGTGACGGCCTTGGTGCCCTCGGAGACGGCGTGCTTGGCCAGCTCGCCGGGCAGCAGGAGCCGCACGGCCGTCTGGATCTCCCGCGAGGTGATGGTGGAGCGCTTGTTGTAGTGCGCCAGGCGCGAGGCCTCGCCGGCGATGCGCTCGAAGATGTCGTTGACGAAGGAGTTCATGATGCTCATGGCCTTGGACGAGATGCCCGTGTCGGGGTGCACCTGCTTCAGCACCTTGTACACGTAGATCGAGTAGCTCTCCTTCCGTGTTCTCTTTCGCTTCTTGTCGCCCTTCTTCTGCGTCTTGGTGACAGCTTTCTTGGAGCCTTTCTTCGGTGCTGGAGCAGATTTCGCCGGCTCAGGCATCCTTAAAAGTTTCTTTCCAAGATCTTCACTGTACCTCAACAACATAAAAAATGGCGCCTGCCCCCTTATTTATAAGGGCGTTATGCAAATTAGAGGATTGTAATCGTTCCATTCCTATTGGAGTAAAAAGTACTAACGTAATTACGGGCACTTCCGTCCTGTAACCGTCACAGCTCAGGCGCTGCGTCTACACAGTCGTTGTGCTTTGCAGTTACAGTGACAGCGTTATTGTCTTACCTAACAAAAAAATTTATCTAAACACATACTAAAATCTAATGAAATTATTTAAAATGTCCGATCTTAGTACACTGGGTATTTTACAGTACCCGTTTTTTTTCAGGGTAGAGGCATTATACTTTCTAGCAGCTTTAAGATTCTGAAACTATTAGTGACTTAGTGTTTCAACGTTACAAGCGCATTAAAAACTTGTCATATCAAAAATTCAGTAATAAACAGCTCCCGTTGTGAAACTGGTGGGTGGCTCTGAAAAGAGCCTTTGTATTTTTAACAGTGCGAGGTTTGTGATTCGAGTTTAGCCGCCGAAGCCGTAGAGGGTGCGTCCCTGGCGCTTGAGGGCGTAGACCACGTCCATGGCCGTCACCGTCTTCCTCTTGGCGTGCTCGGTGTAGGTGACGGCGTCGCGGATCACGTTCTCCAGGAAGACCTTCAGCACGCCGCGCGTCTCCTCGTAGATCAGCCCCGAGATGCGCTTCACGCCGCCGCGCCGCGCCAGGCGGCGGATGGCCGGCTTGGTGATGCCCTGGATGTTGTCGCGCAGCACCTTGCGGTGGCGCTTGGCGCCCCCCTTGCCGAGCCCCTTCCCGCCCTTGCCTCGCCCGGACATGGCAAGGCCACCTGCAGCCCGCACTGCACGCCTCCAGCCCCGCGGAGCCGCGCTATATTCCCCGGGAGCCGACCTGGTTGAGGACTGCGGGGGG